TGCCCTGGCCTGATGCAATGTGTCATGCCTGGGCGGTCCCCAGGCACGTCGGGCAGCTTAGCACCGCCCAATAAAAAAGGGAGGTTTGGCCCCATAGAACCCCTACCCCTGCGCCCCTCAACCCCCACTCATAACCCCAATTCATTTCCCCTCCACCCTCAACCTCACCGTTGCTCTCGTAGTCTCGCCTCTCTCCACCTCTCGATATCTCGACCCTAGCCTCTCCCGTCGTCCCTGACTTCGGTGACCTCAACATTGTTGGCTACATCTCCTACGCTCCCCCATTTCTTCTAACGTTATGTGTCCTCTCAGTATCACCTCACCTCTCTTGGTCTCCCCTCCCTAAACCATGTGAGTTCATGTCCTCGTCCGTCCATCCTCGGCCGCTCGCTATCTTTTTTGATTCGTGCATCGTTCTCGTTCCTCGGGGTCTCCCTCGTCTTCTCTGGCATAGGGCTCCGGTTGCGCATGTATGAAATCAACTCCAAACCCCAATATGAACCCTATCATCACAATTTTGTTGTGTTGTATACAATATACTTGTATGAAATGTGGATATATTGATATGTTGTATGAAATGTTGAATAGAGTATCCTAAAAGGAGCATTTTGAGATGTTTGTCTGACTATGGTAGCCTGGCCTACTGAGTTGGCCATGCTTCTCGGGCTGGCCCAGCCCAAAAAAAGTAGCCCCGCCATAGTGGGTTGTGCTTTTGCCGGGCTCGTGTCATGGCATACTTAGATACTAGCCACTGCTGCCCGCGCTTCGCTGCGGGTGATGCGCTTGGTATAGGAAAAATCTTGAGAAATATGGCTCATATGTCTAATATGTTTTCTCATCGTGTTGGTACGAAAGATTGGTCTTAATACTATAAACGAACATAGAGGTTGACTGTCATTACATGATGCCTATTCTAGGCTAGCAAATCAACGACATGTTAGTGGAAAGAAGTATTTGATGGAGTTGAGCTCAAGCAACTAACACACTTAGATTTAAAGCACAACATTGGCTAGGATTACATTATAGGTGGAAATAGCAAAAACTATAACACAAGTACTTCTCCTAACACGAGGGTTTACAAAAGAGTGAATTAGGATCCACTCCCCTTAGACGAAACTACAACACATTTCGTAAATCTGGAATTACACGAAAGATTACACGGTGTCGAACACTAAATTACACTGGGATTTAAAGTTACATGGTTAAAAGCAACCTAGCACAATGAAGGCTTACTCTAGAAGTCGGGATAGATGAGGGCAATGGAGAAACAACAAGATAATGATTATCCAAAACATGGCGTATGACCAACAGATCCAGAAACAGGAGACTGAGAAGTCAAACATCATGAACCCTAAGACCAAACTAACCAACGGTAGACTTGAACTTCTTCGAAAACCAGATCCCTTATTCTTATATTACACCATCACCTCAGTCAGACGAAATGAGGATTGGATCTCGTAGCTCTGCTTTGGATTTGAGAAGGATGGGGATGAAGAAGAAGAGCAAGGACCAAGGGCATCTTATAGTGGCGAACGAAGATGGGGCGCAGCGCACCGAAAGTGGAGACGGTATGGATGGGATACGCTACCGGTTCACGCTGTGGAGATACAGCCGGCCATGGTGCGCTCCCTTCTCAAGCGAGCGGAGGGGGGTAATAAAGGAGAGGAGAGAGGGTTCGCTCGACGAGGGAGGCGTGCGGGTGGTCATGTCCAAAAAAGAAGAAAGAAGGGAGGGGTGTCTGGTACGGGGACAAGGGCGAGGATCAAGAGCGGACCGGAGGCCGGGAAAAGGAGAAGCGTATAGTGCACGAGGACGGCGAGTGCGGCATGATGTCGAGGCCATGCAAGGACAGGGTGCTAATGGGCTCGACACTGACGGCGTCCGTGGGGCACGCGGTGACAGCGACCCAGCGTGTGTAGCGTGGTCGAGCTGGGCACAGTCCCTGGGACTTGACATCCACTCAGGCTTTTCTAAGCATTCCCTACTACTGAAGGCTAACTTTTCCAAGGTGTTCTTCTTTCCTTCCCTTCGTTGTCCACAATATGCGCCAAACTTTGTATGAAGTGAGATCGCAACATACATACTTCCTCCGAAATCACCTCCTCTTATTTACTTTGAGAGAATACTATTTCATCAACCCGTTGTGGATTTCTCGTTCAAACACCCAAATATTTGTATCAGACGTGGTATGGCGGTGTAACTTGGTAAAGGTACTTGGTCAACAACCTCGATACCAGCGCGTGGCGAGCAGCGCCACCATGTGGTAGCTGTTCCACAGGGAGCCCTCGGTTTTGTCACGACACCATAAGCTATTAACCATGCAACTACTACAAACTTCATGGCTAGAAGGCGGTGGGGTCATATACCACAGAATGAGGGGAGTATTGCAAGGGAAGATTCAAACAACAAGGGTTCCCTTCACAACAAGGGACAATGAATTCAAATCCAGCGGCGGATTTTATTTAAAGAGATTCAAGTGTTCTACTGGGATATCCACAATTAATCGATACAGCGTCCTATATTATCCAATCATGACTGGTTTGTTGATATCTGGATGGCAACTACTCTTGTAACCCACCTACCATCGCCCTTGAAAACTCTAAGCACGTTTAACGGGAAGTAAGTAGATGGACGCAATAAACACAGGGAAATAAACCAAATGCATATTCCAACGGTCTTATACAGGTACATCATGCAGGCATCCAGTCTCCCATTCACGACACATCATTCACCTTCCCTACGACGGACGATCTCAACAGTACGTGCAAAAACAACGGCAAGAGTACAATACCGGAAGATAGCGAAGAACAACACTACTACTATGGGTACAACATCTCAAGGCAACTAATCTACTTGGAACTACGCATCTTCATTCCCGGGCTTGGCAGATTCTTCAACCGCCTTGGCTATGGATCTGCATCTTCTCTTGGCGATGGCTGAGTGAGAGGAATCAAGGCTCTACTTCTGACACTTCCGAAGGTGGAGGTGCTAGCGGCAGTGCAACACCGGTCCTCCTTCTTTCAGGCAGGTGGACCCCCCTTCCAAGATCGGGGCATCCTGCCTTTCAGCAGCCAACATCCTCTGCTTGGCCCTAGTGATAAGATAGGCCTCCCGCAGCTGATAGACATGCCGATCTTCAGCCTCCTTTAGAGCTTCGGACACGGCAGTCTCCCGGCTCTCAACAGCTGCAGCACTGGCATGCGCCTCGGCGAGCTGCACCTGGAGGATTCGGGTGAAGATCTCAGCTTCCTCCGCCCGTCGGAGGCATATCCTCAGTTCCAAGGCTTGCCGGTCATACTGCTCATCCAGGGCAAGAAGGTACGTGCTCAAATGCACCACGGTAGGACTATCCTCTTGCGCATCCTGCCCTTACAAAGCCTCCATGTGAGCCCTCCATGCCCTTTGATTCATGTCCAAAGGTGGAAAGAACCACATGGGGGTACCAGCAATGGGTTCCTCATAGATCTGGCAGAGGTACCGTAGGGCTTTGCGGGCCACAACCTGGTAGGTGTCGATAAAGCTAAACCGGTTGTGGTCACACTCCAGGCTCCAGTGAGGTTGGGGAACTCCTCACTCTTCCCGATGTAGACGGTAACCTCACACCGCTCGGTGCCTTGCTCCTCATACTCACGGCCCTCATACTCGGGAGACGTGGGTCACTACAGGCGTGAACCACTGGCGAATGCGGAGGACAAAGCCACACTGCAGACCTAACTCTGGAATAGGAACGAGTAGGTCATGCACAATACGACCCGCGTGACACCTATGGATGGCGTATCTGGCAGCAATGCGGCACTATAATGCAGAAACAGGATATGAATGAATGCACGTCCTATACGTCATTTCACTGTTGCCAACATATAGGGAAACCGTTCTCGTCTTTTTGGCACATCGTTCTCTCCCTGTTGGCGACCAACCCCAACTACCGACCACTTCGGGAGCAACGTGCACACAAACCAAGCCGTGTCTTAGATGCATGGATGCATGTGTAAGTACAAATGTTCTTGCATGGTCGATGAATCGCTTTTATCTGATGGTAAGGAGGAGAGGCATTAAATGTGTCCACCTGTCCGACTTCTTTTTATCTGATGGTAGCATGGAGGGGAGGCATTAAATGTGTCCACCTACTTTCGACCCACCCTGCGTGGGTGAACATGTCAAGCGCTTTTAATTTTACTGAGTAAATTTCTGGATAGCTTAGGGAATGGCCTCGGACACTGCTCGTCTCACACGCGTAAAAATCCTGCCGCTTTCCTTTTATTGTTCTCTGCGCCAGACTAAATGGTGGACTGCGCCAGGCCCAATGACCGCTCCTCCATTACAAAAGGCCTAGCCTAGCCACTCGGTGCCACCACTCGGTGAGTCTCAGCTCACCTAGCCTTTCTCCCGAGCAAGCTTCTTGCTCGATCCTTCCTTGTAACCATCATCCACCGAGGATGGCAGGAGCCTGGGTTAGCAGCTATTGCCTGAACACTGAGGGTTTTTCCAAAATCCTGTATGCCACCTTACAAAAACTTGGAGTCAAGGATCGCCCCGAGTATCAGCGTGTACAAGATGTCCGAAACAGCTGTAATCGTTGGCAAACTAGATAAAAAGGTTTTCCCAAATGGTGCTTCAAGAACTACTCCTAGTAGTCAATAAATAAGAATATACAGGGTAAACTTTGTCTTGTACAAACATAATGGACGACTACAGGACATGTTGTGACTTGTGAACAACGTATATCTCATCTTCTGAACACATGCCACAGTTGTTAGAAACAACCTCACACAAATTCGCAAAACTTGTGACATGCATCCAAACCGACTATGCACACACTTAGTTTTTATAGCAAAACAGCCACCTGAACGATCAGCACACAAATTCCCTGGGGCTGAAGCAGGTGTTCTCGTCGATAAAAATATTGACAATTGTCTGTAAACCTATTTCTCCACCAAAACAAAAGGCAAAGATTGGTAAACCATCCAGGGTAAGATTGAATCATTGTGCACCCTGGTTTTTCACCGCCAAAACAAGGGAGCCTGTAGTAACGGGTTAACTGGCACGATGCTACATTCATTGTGCGTTCTCGGTTTTCTCATCACTGTAACCAGCTGCCTGCCGGTTCTGCCTACCAAGATTGAATTAGGCACTGGACCTTCATATTCTCCAGCTAGACCACGGTATGAACGCGCCTTGAGGTAGTCGATTGAGGACATTGCTCTTCCTTGGTAAAGGACAGCGTCATTATTGTGCTGGTTTTGGATGCTTAGTGCCTTTACTGTTACCTCAGCCAGTGCGAGCGACATTTCTGATTGCTCCTCATTTTCTGTGGGGGCAAACGATTAGAAAACATGTGTGATAATTAGTAAAAAAAAAAGATGAAACAAAATAAAAGCAAATGAGTGAGCCAACCACAGCACTATTAAAGGACAGAACTTGTGCAAACAGTGACAGACGGATAGACCCATCTGCATATGATGTACCTTGGGGGCAATTATCTTCCACATAGACACCCTTTGATAAAAGAAAAATGTGCTTCTTCTGCTGTGCTCGCAACTTCTTGTTTCTCTAAAGTGATCAAATCCTTGAAATCCAAAAGATATTCTCCAGTCCACTCTCTTCCCCTGAAAACATGTTGCTTCTGGCATCAGAACCATAGCAAAATTATGTAAATTGATGCCACCCTTCATATAGATTTGTAATCAGGCACAAACAGTACAAGTATCTTGGGTTCTATTAGAGGACAATAATGTAGCATACCTGCCAAAAGCTAGTACAGCTTCAAAAGGTGTAATAACTGGAGCTAAAAAATCCTTGCTATCCAGCAGAGCGGTTTGGGCACAAGAAACATAAATAAAAACTTGGCACTGCTCCAAGGAAAAACAATGTCAGATGGTATAGATAGGTGAACAGAGGAAAACAGTTCAGAGTTAAATTAAAGTAGCACACCTCTGGAAAATTCGCAAGTTTTGCAGAATTAGGCCTGCCCATGACCAATGTATAAGATTTCTTTCCAGCGGTCTTGATCAGTTCTTTCATTTGTTCGATTATATGAAGATAACCAGCTGCATCATCAAGGAGTGCAATGCACCGCATCACAAAATTTAAGTGTTTCTAGCAAAATTCCAGGCCAGATAACATAAGAACTAAAATAATAATATTCAAGTAAAGTGGTCGTATTTGGGATTATGGGAATGCACAAAATCAATAGACCAGTAAAGAAACTAGGAATGTCTGGTCTAGGCAAACCATGAAACTAGTTAGGGAGTTCATCTCCCGCTTGATCTGCTTATAGCCAAACTAAACCAGCCTTGTGATGAACCGATCAGGCATGGATCAGATCTTGCATGGTATATAAAGGTAAACCTCATAGTTGAGGTCACAATCTAACAGTCCCTCAACATTGGCATAACTACTTTTTATGTTCAAGTTAACAATGTGCATACCAACACCCAGAGTTCCCACCAAAATGCCAATAATGTTTGCATCCTTTGCCTTCTCCACAAGGTAATACCTACAATTAAAAATTATATTTTGTAAGCAGTACCAAATAATGTAAGAAAAAAGTACATGAATGCTGCAAAAACAAAGTACCTTCGCCTAAGAATTTTCATCAGATGAGAGATGTCAGCTGTGAGTTGATTTTCTATTGCGTCATATCTAACTACAAAAGAAACATTAACATTCAAACGCATCACATTCAGAAGGTCCCTGCATTAGAGCAATTACCTTAACCAAATGGAAGATTATTTAAATTTACTGAGATGATCAATTACAGAATGGAAAATGTAAGCATGTGCAGTTGCAAATAATGTAAAGAAGAGGACTATAAGTTCTGCATCATGCATCGCTAAGCAGAAGTTACAAGATCACTGCCGATCAAGAATCAAATTTTAGATTTCAAACAAAATGTACCAGGACACGCCATCGCGGGCGACGAGGACGCCCTGGAGGAAATGCGACGCCTTGCCCTTCTCCCACGCCTTGACGCGCCATCGGCGGAGCCGGAGTAGATGACGCCGGCACCGGCGGCGACGGCGTTGACGGTGTCATCGTGGGCGCGGATGTACTCGAGGCACTTGAGGTCAGCGATGCGCCAGACCTTGAGCGTGCGGTCCCAGTAGCCCGAGTAGAGCAGCGCGGCGTTGTGCACCGTGGCGGCGACGGCGAGGCAGGAGATGCTGTCGGCGTGCTCGATCCAGAGGCAACGGTGGCTGCGCCGCGCCGTCGTCTGCACGTAGCTGGCCTGGCGGAACACCCGCCCAGGTAGTCCCTGGCGGTGGGCAGCGCGGCGACGAGCTTGAAGGCGTTCTCGGAGCGGGAGCGGCAGGAGACGCGCCAGACGCGGACGCGGCCGTCCTGGTGCGCGGAGAAGACCCGCCTGCCCACGGCCGCCAGCGCCTTGACGGAGCCGCCGTTCTTGCCGTGGCCGAACCTTCCCAGCTCACCACCACAGCCGCGGGGCGTGAGCGACGCGAGAGGGGCACAAGTGCTGCCCCACGGGTGCGAGCGCGCGCGGGCGCCTCCGGCCCCGCCGCCGGGCCCGTCCACGGGTGCGCGCGAGCCCAGCCGACCGCCTTAGATGACGCCCCGCCGGCGGCCAGGCGCCGCCGCAGCCATAGGCGCGGCCCTCGCGGGCCACCGCCATAAACGGCAAACGATTACTCACAAAGATATATATATATATATATATATATATATATATATATATATATATATATATATATATATATATATATATATATATATATATATATATATATATATATATATATAGGCATGAATTAGAGGGGAATGGAGAAATCTCACAAAGTCGTAAAGGAGTCGGGGTGGGGCTGAGTCGGCCGGCAGCGGCGGCGGACAGCCGCGGGGTAGGAAGCTGGAGGAGTTGGACAGAGGCGTGGATGGCGAGCGGGAGGAGGAGCGGACCTCCAACGTGGTACCCTTGGGCAGGAGCATCGCTGGGTTTCGCCGAGGAACCAGACCGGCCACGCTGCGCCGCCGGCACCACACCGTGCCGAGGGGCACCAATCGCTCGGGCGTGCTCGCCGTCTCCCCACCGCAAGAGGGGGCGGAGCAGGCAATGGGGAGGGGCGGCGCTGTGAGAGGAGGAGCAGCGGCGCAGGGGAAGGAAGAGGGCAGGGCGACAGCTGGCGGCGAGAGAGAGCGGAGGAGACGACGGGATGCCGATTGGAGGGGACGAGATATTTTTTGTGCGGGCAACCAGTTATCCCGTGAAGCAAGCAAGTGAAGTAAGCAAGCAAGCAAGTGTCAGCAGCTTTTGCATGCATGCAAGCAAGGCCCAGCGGAATGCGAGGATGCGTGCCGACCACCATGCTAGTTAGGCACCGACCATGCATGTCGAGAATCCACCGTCCTCTGCTACGCGCCACCGTCCATTTGCATGCCGCGTAGAATAAGCAGGAAGTCGTACTTCGTTTAATGCGTGACAGTTACTTCATCTATCTCATCTGAGCCGTGGAATTTCTATCTAACGCATCAAATAAAAAGAACGTACGTGGACACCCTGGGAGACCGCCGATTTGGCGTGCCTTCATATCTTTAATGTCCATTTTTAGTTGCACATGTTTTTAAACTCATAGTATGGAGGAACTGTTCCTATATTTGGGTTTAGTGTGACTATGTATATATTTTTTTACTTTCGATCTATGTAGACTATAGTACCGAGGAACTATTCCCACCTATATTTGGTTTTAGAGTAACTATGTATATATTTTATTTTCGATCTATGTAGACTGTAGTACGTACCATACGTTGACTAATGGGAAGACATTTGTTTTAAAATTAAAATAAAAACAAGGAGGACATTAAAAGGAGCTCTGATCCTTTGGTAGTGGATCAGTGTATGCAAAGCATGCGTAAAGCAAGTGTCAATCAGGCTGGCAAAGATGGTGTCTTGCAGATCATGACGAACTGGCAAACCTAATGATGCACGTTTGCGTTGCTGTGCTGAGGCGATGAAAACGAAATATCCCCTCATACCTAATGATCGCATCGTTTTTCTTGTCCGACTTTACCGCATCGGCGCAAAGAGATGCTTCGGTTTCAAATAGGAGTACTAGCTTTACATGCCTACTTTTAATTTGAAATATTCCGCCAAAATTCGCTTTACTGGTAATTTGCCAATCGCAGGTCATACAGCAGGTAGGCTAGCTACCTCTGTGCTGTGCATGCATGTATGGCTCCCTGCCCTCTCTTATGTGCGCGCGCCTCATATGTATTTGGTCGTGCACTTGTTTAGATTCTTGAACTATATCATGCACTTGTGTGTGTGTTTGGTACAGTTTGAGAAAGAGAGACAGGGTGGACTTTCGTACCAATTTTCCATGATGCATGCATGAAATTCGCGATCGATCGAGCATGCATTCTAGATATTCTGCCGCAGATATCATGCAGAGAATTGGCCGGGATCAGGCACAGGCAGCGACGGACAGAATTCCGAGCCCAAGTGCAGGTGCTCCCATTGTTGCAATTCATCCAGCAGTAAGTGTAATATGGCGCTGCTGGTGCATGTGACATTCTGATGGATGTCGATGCATGCTGGCCTCTCTCCTGCTCCTGCTGTGCCCACCGCCAGGCCCAGCAAAACTGAAGGGTACGCAGAGCTGCTGATCAATCGGTAAAGATGTTTGTAGAGAACAGTAACGTGGCAACAAATGGAGTCTGGGTCGATGGCTGCTTAATAAGCATCGAGTCGATTATACAGTATTAACCAACCCCAAATAACAGCATCTGAACATAATATTTAATTTATTTTCTTGAGGGAATGATCTGATAAACATATAACATATCACCAGTTAGAATAGCATGCATGCATGCATCAGCAGCAGCAGCAGGGCGACCTGCTTGAGGATTTTTGCAAACCAATGTGCAATGCAAAGGACAGAAAAAGCAGGAGAGAAGAGAAGGATAGATACAAGCTTAAGGCATGATGCCTCATAACGCTCCATATCTTTGTGAGAGTCATGCGAGGACTGCATATATATGTATGAATGAGATCAGGTCAGGATCTCCCAAAGGTATAAAATACACACACACAATGCAAGCAAGGGTCGTCGACAGGACTGGGTGCAGCAGCCAGCAGGCCTGTATGTATAATAATACTCGATGGATCGATTCCTCCCTCACTCCTCATGTACTACCGCTACCATATGTACATATGTCAATGTCGTCCTTGACGAATCGATCGATACATTACTTTAGCAGCAAACGAATAAAGTGTAGTAGAGTCGGGGCGCTTTTGGCAAAGGCGTTGTCTCATCTATACACTACTAGCTTAGACGTTCCAAAAGGCAAAAGCTAAGGCGGGGGGGCGTTGTCACGAGCAGTGTGCGTGTGTGATGGATACACTCATTTCACTTTCACACCTCTCGATCTCTCCGTCTGTTTGTTTGTCTTTCTCTCATGCGTATCATGCATGGTCGGAGCAGTATGGTAGTACAGCACGCACATACATAGTAGTACAGTACCACACACGCACAGCAGTAGAGGCCACCACTGCCGGACAGAGCATCTTTGCCGAGGACATGAGGATTTATCGAGGACAAATGCTCGGGCACTCAGCAAATAGTCTTTGTCGAGGGCCACGCCCTCGGCAAAGAACAGCCCCCGACAAAGAGTCTTTGCCGAGGGCCAGACAAGCACACGGCAACAATAATTGTTTGTCGGCAAAGGGCCGGCCCTCGGCAACACCGCCTGCCATCAATCTTTGCCGATGGCATCACCGTTAGGCTCTCGGCAAAGACTTTTTAACCGTTTTTGAAATTTTTCTTTTTAAAAATTCTTTGCCGATTGCCATGGCCCAGCACTCGGCAAAGACAGTCTTTACCGAGTGCCAAGCTAGCACTCGGCAAATTTTTAGTTTTTTTTTACCCCAAATTTTTTGTTGGGCCCGCCTACATTGTTTACAACTTCATGTTCAAATTTGGTGCTTTTTAGTTTTTTGTTATATTTGGTTGATTAATTTGATTATGTTGAATTTTTATATATAATTCAAATTTGAACTGCAAGTGCATAGAATATTGTAATCTAGTGCTTCGAAAAATATTATTCATGGTATTTGGTGTATGTTGAGTCTCTATCCATGAACTCGCATCAAATTTCGTGCATATTCTTCACGTAACATGACGAACCACTTGTCGAAAAAGTGTTTTAAAATTATATAAAGTCTATACGAAGTCCGTAAATCACGAAACTTGTCGAGGTGTCATGTTATCGCATGTGTAGACTGTGGTAAAAATTTGAGAATGTTTCGAGTAAGTTGCAACGTTAGATGCATAAAACCCAGACATCTCCACGTCGCAACTTGCTCGAAACTTGTGATGTCTGAGTTTTATGTATCTGATGTCGCAACTTGCTTAAAACATTCTCAATTTTTACCACAGCCTACACATGCGATAACATGACACCTCCACAAGTTTCGTGATTTTCGGACTTCGTATGGACTTTATATAATTTTAAAACACTTTTCCGGCAAGTGGCTCGTCATGTTACATGAAGAAGATGCGCGAAATTTGATGCGAGTTCGTGGATAGAGACTCAACATATACCAAATACCATGAATAACATTTTTCGAAGCACTAGATTACAATATTCCATGCACTTGCAGTTCAAATTTGAATTATATATAAAAATTCAACATAATCAAATTAATCAACCAAATATAACAAAAAAACTAGAAAAAACACCAAATTTGAACATGAAGTTGTAAACAATGTAGACGGGCCCAACAAAAAATTTGGGGTCAAAAAAAAAAAAAAAACTAAAAATTTGCCTAGTGCTATCTTGGCACTCGGCAAAGACTGTTTTTGCCGAGTGCTAGGGCCAAAGGCACTCGCAAAAGAATTTTTTTAAAAAAATAAAAACATCTTTGCCGAGGGCCCTGGATCTGGACCTTCGGCAAAGACCCAAAACCTAAAAAAATCGACGTCGGCCCAAAATCCTCAAAATCCCTCTTCTTCCCTTCCATTACCTCCCACGCTCGGTTCTTTACCCCATGCCGCTCACCTCGCCTGCGCCGCCACCACTTGCCACCACCCGCCTCTGCCCGCCCCCACGCGCCTGGCCGCCTCCCCGACCTCAGCTCCCACCGGTGGCCGCCCCGCGCCCCACGCCGACCCCCCTCTTCCACCCTAGCCACCACCGCGGCGGCCTCCTGTAGCTGCGCCCGGCCTTCGCCCCCCTTCCGTCCCGTCCCTGCACTTCTACCTGGTGTCCCTCACTGGGCTCCCCCGGCGTCCCTCACTGCGCGCCCCCAGCGTCCCGCACCCGGCACAGCCAGACTTGGGAAGCTGCGCGGCCGGAGCAAGTCCTGAGCGGGGAGCAGTGTGCCGTCGAAGCACCCCGTGGCCAAGGCCAAGAGAGCCGCCGCGCGCCCGCCCACACCAAGATCGAGAGCCAGCGCGCCGATCCGCTCCCGGTCGACGAGGTATGCCGCCGCTGCCCATCAATCTATAGTTGCTGAACTGCTGGTGGTGTCGCCCCAGTGGCAAAAAAAAAAAACTTATATTGTCAGATGTGTATTTAGACTACTTGTGCATGAAACATTTGAATCCTACTTACAGTATTATATCGATTGTCAAATGGAATTACACTTTGATCAGTATTGCTATATTGTGGCCCAACAAACATCTTAGAGTTTGTTTTTTTAAGTAGCCTGAAAATATGCTGGATGTATAAAAAAAACACAAGAATACCAGTTTGAACATGGTACTTAGTAGTCCACATCCGAACATATGTGTGTAGTTCAGCGTTTTTCGGCGCGCCCGTCCTACATGAAAGCCTCACGGCAGGATATAGAGTTAACCCTCAACTCGTCATTACAGACATGATCATTTCGGCCCTCCAAACTCACAGCGCTGGGGTCCGAATGCAGAGCAGCCAATTGTCCCAACTGTGATGACGACTCCCCCTGCGTGTTCCACTCGATCCGCCGCGGC